TGATATAATGAAAAGGCATTCTTATCTTTTTTTTAACAGTAACCCCTTCCCCGCATCCTCAAATAAAACCTATAGAGGATATGATCGCGCCCATTCTTGTCAACAAAATCCCATGGATATCAGGCAAGCAAGAGAGGTTCAAAAATCTAATAGTTCATCTGGACCACTAAAAGGTTAAAACTTTCAAGTCCACAGTTGAATGACTATAAACAACTATTATTGTATAAGTGCATGTCAATACCATATGTAAAATAATCCATCACTTCGTTGTGTTTGGACTCTACCCCGCAGCTCAATCTGCAATATTCCACCAATGCAAAGAACAGGTTCTGGAAGCTTAAAACTCTGCAAATTACTTTCCTGTTAATACATACAATAATTAGTACCATCACTGGTTCTGAGAGAATTATCTATTTGCAGATCAAAAACAGGGAAAAAGAATAAGGAACTCATTTCAAGAAAAACGAAACTTAATAAGAGTGTCAAAGGGGGGTTTTTAAACTTGAAAAAGAGAACCTTTTTCAGGTTACAATCAAAAAGTGGAAAGGAACCTTTCACAACTGAGAAATAGTAATCCATTTCAATCAGTGCTGGGAAATACAAGATTTCATTGTATTAATTTTCATCTTTAATAGCACAACAAAAAGATGAAGTCAATTAAGTGACATGAAAAAAACCAATTGAGCTACTTGAACCCACCTGATCCATTGGAAACTCTTCTGAAGTGTAAGTCCACACAAAATCGTCACCCAGAGAATGACCCATTCGGAATAGTACAGATCTTGCAGAATATATAGGTGAACCCGGCTGGAAAAAAGCTAGACCCAAAATAGAAGGAAATTTACAAGGTAGATAAAAAAGTGAAAAAGTAGCTGAACTTTCAAAAATTTAGAACAGTTACCTTCATAAGGTTTTATTCTGATTTCAGTAATAACACACAAATCAGCTACCAATTTGTAAGTTAGCGTTTCAGGGACTGCAGGGTTACTTTGACCTTTACTTGACCAGTATGAACGTCCCCATCCCACTCTATCCAATTCTTCCAAAGTGTTATCTATGCTTTCATCTGGATCTCTATCAGTGCTGGAAGCCATAATTGCTTCTGTGATGCAGTCTTTGCGTTCAGCAAAAGACATACAACCTCGAGCCAGAAAGGCATAGACTCTGTGCTCTTTCTTCAAAGTTTCCCATTCCATGTTACTAGATCCAGCTTCCACCTGTGGGTTTCTTGCGACGCAGCAATGTTCAACAACATGATCAACTCTAGATAATTGAGGAAACATCCTGAAGCACAGTTTCTTGGCAAGACCATTATCAATCACTGGAAACCGTATACAACCACGTTATTAAGTCATTGCTGTGAATAGTCAAACATATAACCATAAAAGAACTATGGTGCTTATGACCATTACTCTTCTACCAGTGGCAAAAGGCAATTCCATAATCCATAATCCATAATCAATAATCCAAGCTAAAATTTCTGAAATTCCATGGAAGAGCAATCAAAGGATTGACACTTTGTTATTTTGCTTATGAAGAACTGTTACCTTCAAAACACACCAGAAATATAATGTCCTCAATGATTGAAAACAGCACAACAGATTACAATGAATTTCACGGGAACAAAAATATTAACTAAAGTAGTATGTCAGCAACCAGACTTCATACCCAGATGGAACTGTTCCACAAAATTGATGAATAAAACAAAGAATTGAGTCCCTGAATACATCAAGTTGTTTCAACTCACCAAAATGTAACCAATTGTGGGAGACAGAAGCGGCACGAACAATATCAGATGGATCGTCCAAACATGTCATAATCTTTAGTGACAAGTTTTCATCAAGGTAGTTCAAGAAATCCAGACTAGCTTCCATTCTTACAAACGATGCCTACCAAATCGGTTAAAATTCTTCTTCTAAACTTGAATTCCTGAGACAGTATCAAAACTTTATTTATCAAAACTTCAAAACATGCAAAGTTGAACAAAAAAAAAAAAAAAAAAAAAAACCCAAAAAGTAACAGATAAAAAAAAAATGGGGCATTCGAAATTAAAATAGAAACGCAGCAAAATTGCTGAATTCTGCAAAGGAAGAGATTAAAACAACGAATTGGGTAATGGAAAAGGGGAAAAAGAAGGAAAAGAAACACGGAAAGGAGAGAGCTTTGGAGGACGAAAAGGAGAAGGGAAGGGAAAGGAATCAAAGTTAAGAATTTATGACCTCGTCGGAAACCCTAGAGGGAGAATCGGCGAAGAAGTGGAGTTTTGCGGCGAACTCGGGGGAAGCTAATCCTTATTTCTTAATTTTGCAATTATTTATTTATTACTACTCTTGCGTCGGTCTCCAGAAAATTATTTATTGTAGTGTTCTAAATAAATACTTTATATATATATATATATAAAAGACTATGAGGCATGATAATCGGTGATTCCGATATTTTGCCGCCATTATTATTATT